AAAATGAATAATTAAATTCTGAGGTTTGGGCATCTTCATTTATTGCTGAGATATTGGCATCATCACTTTTCCATATTTGGGGAAAATGAGAATAAAAGTCAATGTTAAATGATGTACAAAACTAAGATTAGTCTGTTTACCCCAGACTAACTCTTTAGATAAAGGAAAACTATTTTCATACTTCGCATAAAATATGCATAAAATATGAAGTTGATATTTTCCAATCTTGATATAGTTTTTATAAACCCTCCTCTCTTTTTTAAGCCCAACACAATTAGCATTTTGAGAACATTGTGAGTCTGCTATTAGCTACCAATAAAACCAGTTTGATTTACCAGTGACATTAACCAGGTTAAGTGCCAGGATTCAAAGAAAAGCTGTTTGGATCACTAGAACATGACTTTGGCTAGTCTGAGGGATCCTAAAATGGTGTGACAATGAGTGTGTTTAATGGATGTAGATGTGTTGCTGAAAGCCATTCCAGCATCTCTGTGGGCAAGCTCCAGAACAGAAAATTAAAAGGGGAAAGGGAAACAAATCCCGAAGTAGCAGTCAGTTTAATTTATTTAACAATTTTTTTACCAAGAAAGAAAGAACTGAGTACAGACTCCATCATGTTTCTGTTTGTCGTCTTTGGGGGTATAAATCTTTCTAAACACTGCTGATGTTTTACTGCCAGGCACTCCAAGTCCTGCTGCTCTGGGGACATTGGGGACACAGCACAACCCCAGGCTGCAGGATGGAGGCTTTCAGCTTGGCAAAGGTTCCCATTGGGGCAGGCAATAAAAACACCTCACACAGCTCAGCTGAAATCCTACGTGGCTTTGGGGTTCTGTCACCTGGGACCACTAAAGGTGGAGACTGAACAAGCACTAATAGCAAAGCCCTACTCAAAAATAATCAGTGTATCCTTTGTGCAGAGCAGATTCCCAGCGAGTTACTGCAGGGCTGGGGTGCTGAGGCAGAGAACACCCACCTCCAACAAAACTCAGTATGTCAATGACTGAAAAATAAATCAAATTACTTGGCAAATAAAAATGCAATTCTGTGACTGCAAGGAAGCTGGCATTTTCCTGGTTATCTTCTCCAAGACAGAAAGAAGATACATAAATATATATGGCATCAGAAATGGCAGCAGAAATGTCTCTTTAGCCTTCCCAGTACAAATTAAGTGTAGGAAAACTACTCCTCCACAGAGGCCCCTGTCACTGAAGTGATGCCCTAAGCACAGCTAAGTTCAGAGACATCAACCAAAGTCAGCTCTTACAAAATAAAATGTAACACATGTCGGTTCAGGTATTGGCACTGCAGGACATCACTTAAACCTGAACCTACTCCTGGATTTTGGTTCAGCTGCCTGTTTAAGTGCACCAAATGCTTTACTTTGAGCTCCCACCCAGACATCTCAGCATCCTTCACACACAGGGTGCCAGGTTCACAGAATCCTGGATATTGCTTCAGGACACAGCAGGCATTTCTTCCACGAGTTTTGGCCTCAGCTTAACCATGTCCAGTTCCTATTCTTGAATCTTAGTGGTGCCTCAAATCCCTTTCACTCAAAAATTATTTTGGGCCAATAAAGCAAGAGCAAAGCACATCAGATCCAGGAAGTTCTCTGCAGGTTTTACATCTCCCTCTATTCAGCAGAAGCTTTTAGGGGCAGCTGTTGTAAGTGGGGCTGAGAAACAGCACCTTACAGCCTTTTCTTCCCCGTTTTTCTCCTTAAGAAGAGAGTTGCTGCTTTTTAAACTCATTGCACAGCCGAAGCAGCGGCAGCCCCGAGGTTTCCCAGCTCTGGCAGGGCTCGGGTGTGGCTGTGCCCGTGTCACTTTGTCCCTCCAGGGGCTGCAGCTGCCAGCACAGCACCGCCACCCCCTCAGCTCTCAGCATTCCCCCTTTAAAGCTCACGGTGACCACAGAAATTACCAGAAGTATTTGGTTGCTCTTTGCAGCTGCACAGTTCTCACCCTGGCTCAGACTTGGCAAACTACTTTATTCAGGGAACAACTGCACGGCCACAGCGCTCCCCTGCAGCTGGGGAAGGGCCAAACCCACGGGACAGCTGCTGGAAGCTCAAGGGATAATTAGGAGACAAACAATTAATGGGATTTCTTACTCATCCCTAACTCTGATAGAAATATATTATTTTTACCTGGCAATTAAAAATCTGCACTGTTTTGTTCCCAAGGTAAGAAAGTTTCATTATGTTCATTTTGCACATTTAGACATGACAAGAAGCTCAACATTTTCCCAGGAAAATGCTACAACAGACACATCTTTTCTGCTCTCAATCACTGCCATTCCAGAGCACTTTTAAGACAGTTCATATTTAATATAAAGGCAGTAATAGACTTTGATATGTTAGAACTTAATTCTAGAACTCTGATTTTTGGAGTTCACTGAATGCATGGCTGGGGATACCAGTAGGTGGAAGAAAATAGAAACTTTTCTAGGATTAAAGCTCAAGTTCTGAAATACTGAAAAGACTAAAGGAAACAATCTGCACGAAAACTCAAATATTTTTTTCTGTGATACAGGCACTACAAAGTGAACATGCATCACTGAAAGACATTGGGTCCGTTTCTCTCAAGGGAATGCATTTTACACTGAAAATGTAGAATAAACCCACAGAGCATCAAAGGGATCATGGGAGACAGACAACGGAGTTTTGAGAAAAAAAAAAAGATGACAACATGTAACATCTACAATGTACACACACACACACCCTGGAAGGTTTATATATGCTCTATATATATTTCAAAGTACACACAAGCTGCCCATGTGGCAGGTTGAGAAAATAGGAATACATCTTGGGAAGGTCATGAAGGAAAAAAACCACAGAGGAAAATGAGAGTTATTTACATTCAATAATTCAGTAGCCTTTAACACCTCTATATACAAACAGGCTCTATTTATGTACAGACTGCGCTGGGAGCCGACTGAAGTTATTCCAAACACAAAAGAAAAATACAAAACCCCTTGATAATTCACTTGAACAAGCGTTTTACAGGTTGCAGAGATTTCTCCATTTACAAAGAAAATACTACACATGGAACAGAGAACTTGCATCTTTGGGAAACTTTAAGTCCTTACAAGAGGAGTGTGATACCAATGAACCACACAGGAAAAAGTGGAATACTTGCAGTGCAAGGAGGTTTTCAGGGGGTTATAACTGCATTTATCATGCCAGACATATCTTAATTATCAAACTAGTTAACAAGTCACAATTTAGTTGCTGTCAAGGGACAGTTAGAAAAAAGAACCAAGAATTTGGGTTTTCAGTTCCCAAATCAACTCAAATATGTACCTTCCCCTTCTGCAGCACAATTCCAAAATCCACACAGTACAGAAGTTGCTGCCATTTTGCACCTGGCATTGCCCTCTGTCCTTTATAGGTTTTATATCCATTTCAGATGTACAAAGCATTTTTGTATTTCATTTTGTACAAAGCAGATCAATATCCCACAAGCAGGAAAATACAGAGACCACCCTTGGCTGGCCTGGTAATTTATGATTTAATAATTGGCCTTTTTTTCCTCCCCAGGAGGATGTCTGTCTCACAGGCAGTGCTGCAAAGGGACACCACTCACTGTTCTTACCCCATCCAGGGCAATTTATATTCCCTTTCTCCCCAAGCTTTAGCAGCAGCTCATGCAGGGAACAAATGCCAAAATCCACACCCCAAGCACCAAGTAGGAATTTTCAAGAGAGAAAATACTGCTGTGGCTTGAAGGCAGTTTTCTTTTTTTTTTTCTAATGTTAATTTTCAAGATGTTACAACAGTCCAGAGCTGTGGTTGCAGCTGTGTTAATAAGTGGATGGCAAAGCCAAGGCAGTGATGCTGCAGGAGCAGGCAAAGAAGAGCAAGTAGAGGAATGGATTTCTGGAACAGGAACAGTTCTTATAGATCTTCGAAGTACTGTCAGCTTTTTTCCCCTCCAGGGGACACAAGTCCATGGGAAGTTTAAAAGGTTGAAGCAAAATAGTGCTGTTTGCTCATCAATACAGGGAATATGAGATTTGCTCATCCCAACAATCAAAGTGAGCACACCGGGCTGAGAAGAGCACTTAGGAACTGAGTATATTTAAATAACTATTTAAGAAAAAATATTTTTAAAAAATCACTAATTGCGCATCTACCACTTCCAGAACTATTTTACTGAGGATCAAGACATAAAATGTTGATGTCATCATCTCAGATGGCAGAAGTTTCTACAGCAAGTACCAACTAAGCAGCAGCCACACAGAGCCTGTCGTTACTGGCAGTTTGGTGTGCTGTCTGCTGCAGTAGTAATCTGTCAACACACTCCTCAAAATCCCAGCCCTGCGCCTGGAATGGGTGCCAAATGCATCCCCTGGTGGGTACAGAACACAGAACAGCCTCCCCCACACCCTGTGCTCCAGAGTTTGCCAGGGCATCATCAGCTCCCAGGGCTATGCCAGCGCTCAGCTCCCCTCCCTTGCTCCCAGCAGACCGAAGATCCCCCAACACTGAGCACCTGCAGCCCAGGTGTTTACAGGGGCACAGCAGGATTTATTCCAGATCTGCATTTCCAGTTACCCCAAGCATGAGCAGGGGATTCATCCCTCCTGACCACTTCAGGCTGGGGCTGAGGGAATTGGGCAAACTTCCTTCACTCAGTGCCCACACTGAGCTGCCGGCACAGGGAGCATTAACTGAGCCTCAGGAGCAATAATTCCATAAGGGAAGCCCCTGCTTCAGCCCCACTCTTTCCGACCCTTGAGTGGCTCACCAAGTGCTTCAGAGGTGCCACACCTGCAGCCATCCTGCTCTGGAACTGAGCCTTCCTTAAACACACACGGAGGTTTAGACAGAGTTTAGTTCTTGCCTCATTAGCGAGTTCAGCCAAGAGATTTGGGCTGCAAGACAGAAGCCTGGTTAGAGCAGCCTGGAACATGCCAAGTCCTGTCCAATTCCAATTGTACAGACTTGTTAGTTTTTTTGGAATATGGTGATTGCCTAAACAAGACTCCACTTCTTGTTAGTACAATAACTTTTATTTGACATCTACAAGATCATTATCTTGTAGTTTTTTGGACAGGTTTATACAATCTCAATTTTTCAATAGTGCAACCTGTGCAAGCAAGAAATGACAAACATTGTCCTTCACTTTCTTATAAACATCTACTATTATAGGCAAAACAAAACTTACCCATATTATAGATAAGTGACTATTCACATTTGTACATTACAATTTCTTTTAAACAGCTCCAGATAAACTCTACAATGTCTTACAACATATTAAACATAACAGAAACAGCACATACAGCGGAACCCTCAAGTGTTTCCCATTCTCTAATTTACAGCTCAAGTAAGGTTTCATCTTAAAAGTGACAAATTAAATTATGTTAATGAAGTAAAAAATATAAGATTGTATGCGAGATGGAAGTGAATTTGCACTTAAGTTTCCATAACCACCTCAGATTAAGGAAATGCTTCAATTTAAGGAAAACAGGCATCCAGCCATCTTTGCAGTACACATTAGGAATACCATTAATACATTAAAAATGAACTAATTTTAATTTAAGATGTTTATCACAAAAAAGAACATGTTGTAGACTCAAATATATAAGTCCCAGGAGAGAACCAGAAAAAATGCAACACCTGGGTATAAACACTATAAAAATGCAATAACCAATGCTGTACAACTAAGATTGTGTTTCTCTCTGAATTCCTGCCTCGTGTGTTTATGCTGTCCATGCCCTTTTCCAAAGACATGCACTGTCAAACAGAAACTGGGAAGGAACCTGAATGCATGATGTGCAACCTCTAGGTTTCATGCTTTTATAAACTCAAATTGAAGAGAAAAACCCAATATATATTTTCTATATATATACTCAATACATGCATTCGAGATCTCCCACAGCAATGGCATCGATGCACTGCGTTAAACCCTGAGCACTGTATGACAAGATAAAAATAAAGCCTGCTTGGGGATTTTCAAGCATTTTCAAACAAATTGTGGTTTGTAGCTTAAAAGGCCAAAAGTAAAAGCAAACAGGAAGCACTACAGAGAGCATAAGGAAAGACAGATGCACCACCATAAACAGCTGCTGGCTTTCAGTTCTACCAACCTTTTTAGATCTCTTTATTCCCAAAGTATTTGAGACACAACTGAACTGAAAAAGTTATATTTCTTTGGAATCTGTCCCTGATTTTTATGCAAGTGATATGCTTTTACAGCCTTTTCCTCAAACACCAAAGTCAACACCTGTAGCTTGTCCTCTTATGCGTTGTTGAGGTTGGTGATGCTCTGGGGGTGGTGCTGCTGCCAGATCTGCTGCTGCTGCACTGCGAGCTGCTGCGACTGGTCGGACGTCGACAGGAGGTTCACGAGGGGCGACACACAATTTGCAGGAATGATCAAACCTGAGAACAGCAACACATCAATTGTTTCATAAAAATGCCATCAGTTGTGTTCATTAAGACCGCAGGCTGATGATTCCACCCTTTAATTTATGCAACATTCAATAATGACTGTTCTGATGTCAGGTCTAATCAGCAAAGCTGCAAGTCCTGCTCCTCAGCCCTTCACATCCTTTAGGTTGTGAAGCAAGGGAAAGAAGTTTTCATTTTGCCTGACAACAAAATTTATTCTCATGTTACCTGCTGTCATGAGAAGTCAGCTATTTTTGCTTTTCTAGTCTCACAGAAGTTACAGCACCATGAAAGTTTAAGCACAGAAAACCCTACTTCCAACATCCTAGAAAACTGGTACTAGAGAAGCTGCCATATTGGCACATCCACAGGAAGTACACATTTCAGAAAACATTTGGAGAGTTTGGTTTCTGAGGTCCCTGTTTTGAAGGTTTCACTATGAGGTTTAGTGAAGAGACAATCATCTTGAAGTAATTTTACACACTTTCAGCAGCTCTAAAACCATGAAAATTATTTCAAAGGCCAAAAGTCCCATTCATTGCCAAAAGTGGGGGGAAAAGTGGAGCCATTATGATGTCACAGAACCTTGGCTGGAGCAGGCTGTGCATGACATTTTTGCTGCAGTAAATCCGAAGAACTGAGACTAAGTACTCCAAGACCTGGCTGAAAAAGAAACCTGCCTTCATTAACCTCCTCAATATATTGTATTGTAGATTTGTACAGCTGCACTTATGCCCCTCCACAGCAGACAAGCCTGTTCTCTTTTAAACACCTTTATCCCAACACAGCCATGTGGCTGCCAACACAGATTCATTCAGCAGTTAGACCCCCCTGCTCCAAGGTGCAGGAGAGCAGCAGCCCATGCACCCACCTACAATCCTCTGCCCATCCTCTGTCCTCAGGCGAACGATTTGCATTTTGACGTTTGTGCCACTGACGGAGGCCAGGACTCCTTCCACCTTTGTCCACACGCTCAGCACGGAGCCACACAGCACGTAGTAGGTTCTGCAGCGCAGCCCCACCTCACAGACCAGCCCCAGGCCTGCCTTCTTGCAATTGCCTCTCCTGCAGGCAGAGGGAAAAGCTTTTGAAACCATTCTGCAAATTAAAGTATCTAATTTCATTAAAAATGAGACTCGTTATTTAATGTGGACTCAAGAATCGAGCAAGGGCTGCACATGCACTAAGGGAAGGACACTTTGAGCACAGGAAATAGTAAAGCTTTGGAAAAGGTTGGCCTAGTTAAGCCCTGATCTACAAAACACACAGAGGTTTGAGTCAAAGATACCATCACTGAGGTCACCTGAGAACTGGAGTATGTTACGGGACACTGGTATCTGATCAGGCTACTTCAGAAGCTCCAATATTAATCTGAAACTTCTACCAGTTATGCAGTTCCTCAGGAATTCAGCCATCAGCTGAGTTCAGACACACAGGAGGCAGCAGAGGAACAGCTGTTTCTGACATCCATCTCATCTCTAAACATTTCCCCCCCAATAACATTTCAACTATCAGACTATAAAAACAGAACAGATGAACGCTACTCCTGAGTCACTCTGAGTGTAATTTATGCATGTATTGGGACTTGAGGGCAAGTGCAAAGCTCAATGTTTTCACTCATAAGTTGGGTCACTTGACTGGTCATGGGGTAATTTCCCTTACAGAAGAAACACAAGACTTTACAAGAGGGACAGAAGAACAGAAGCTGTGCTAAAGCAGCCCGAAGCGAAACAGTAGAAGTTAAAGCACAGCCACTGACCAGTAGGCGTGGGTGCAGGTGTCTGCAGAGGAGTTGTACTGCTCCAGCCAGTGCGGCAGAGCATCCTCAGAAGGTACCTGGAAGAGTCATCCAAAATGGGAATGAAGTAAAACACATCAAAACTTACATAGAATAAAAATAATTTGGTCTTTATAATAAGAAAGGTGGGAGTACCAACATCAGGATGCTGTAGAGAGGTACAGCATCCTACATTATAATAATTTCAAATTATCTATTCCAAAGGACAAGCAAAATGCTTAAACATAGCAGAACCTCAGAGCTTTTTCAATAATCCACCTGATGAGAGTTTCCATAAGTTCTTGCAAATTCAACACTTGCTAGACCATAAGGAACCTCCTTTTTTATTACCACACCACAGATAATTTATATTTAGAAAGAAATTCAGAAAAGGATATAGGAATGCCAAAGTCAAGCAGACCTGTTTAGAAGGACCCAAATAAAAATCTGCTCTGGAGAAAGAAGCCTACTTTTTGACTTGTCAAAATTATACATAAATATAAAAAAAATAAAGCCCTTATAATTATTTTCAAACTTTTCTAAGTTAAAAAAACAAGCATAACTTTAATGGTTACCTTCTTATATTTCTTTTTCAGGTCTGCACATGTTTCTAGTTTGAGTTGTTTCCCAGTATTTGGTCTGTATATCAAAAAAAGCTTCTTTTTAGGATTCACTTCTTTTACTAGAATTGCTGTTTTCTTGTTATTTCTTATCTGGAAAACAAAAAATTAATCATGTGTTAATTCAGGAAGTTTTTGGTTTAAGTATCTGCTTAAGTGTTTCCATATTGTGCTCTTTACAGAGTAATAGGATTGTGTAATAGTACAACCAAGGACAGTAATACACCTCTAGAACACAGTAATCCACATTAACCTCACAGTGAAAACACAATTTCCTGGTGGAGGTTTCAATAAGAGCTATTAATTTGGGCTCATATTCCTATCAGATATATCCTGAGATGATAACAGGAAGAATTTCATACTCCATGTTAAAAAAACCCTAATTTTAATGTAAGACTCAATGTATTTTGCAAAACTGAACAAGTTTTTCAGTTTAGCCCCCAAAACCTCTGAACATAATCCAAGAGACAGAAGAATCTTACCTGTAGTGATAAATAAAATCCATCATCTGGACCTGTCTGTTCTGCCCAGATCTTTGTTGCTTCATCCCAAGACATTCCTCTCTCCACACTGATCTACAAGAGAGCAGTGCAGGGTTATTTGAGTGGAAACAGATTTTAAAACAGTTACACACATGGGGACTGAACACATTGTAAAAACTTACTGGCAAATGCTATTTGTTCCTACAGAGATGACAGAGGATTAACTTACTGTGTACAGCTCAACATGTCCAGAGGTAGAATATCCAGGAGTTAAAAACTTCTTAACATCTGCCTTCCTCACTTTCTCATCCCCAGAGCCCAAATCTGAAAAGGAAAGCAGAGTTTTATTCTTTTGCTCTGTTCTCACTGAAGTTCAAGAGCACGATGAAATTATTTACTCACCCAAGATGCCCATGTCATATCTTCCATTCTTTTTAGCATTTTGAATGACCGCATTCAATGTGTCAGAGAAGTACTGGAACAAAGCATTCTGCTGATGGACTTCCATACCAAGAATTCGATTCAGAAATTTCCCTATATTGTTGTAATCTTTAAAAAGTAAGAAATACAAATATTAGGCAAGTTTGATAACCACAAGCCCTCAATAAGTATTCAAAGACTCCTACAAATACTATTTAAATACATTCTTTCAGAAATGCAGAAAACATTAAGTTCTTCTCAAAAAAGGTCACTTTTTAGATAGTTACAAGTTCAGTTCTGCTGCTGAGAATCCACTGTCATGACATAAGATGCTCCCAGGGACATTGTACAGATACATTGCACACCCAAGTACCTTTATCAAGCGTCAGGATTCCAGATCTGTCTTCTACATTTATCAAGCCTACACCAATCAATCCCTGACGAACATCTAGGAAAGAAAGAAGTTACATCATAGCTGCTTTGCCATCTAAAAATAACCCAGTGAAGTAACAGCTTGTTTAGCCATAGGATCCGATTCCAAAGCCTCTGATACCCCTCACTTCCCATTACTTGCAGTTTCTGCCCAATACATCAATAAGCAAGATACAGCTTTGCCTTCTGTCCCTGCAGGAAGCCCAGGCAGGGAAAGTACCAAAGGCACCATGCACAAGCACCCTTCCAACAGGTAATGGGAAAATGGATAAAAATCTGTTTGTAACACACTGGCCAAGCAGATACAGAACATTCCTCACACTGAGAGTTCACAGATCTGGTTTCACGTGTGAACTTCAACATTCAAGCAATGTGCACAGACTCTCACTGGGCGTCTACTCCCATCTGTCTCAGCTGATCATTTTAAATTGTAACAGTGTTTTACAGCCCTAACAGTATTTTGATTTTCCTTGTAGAGGAGAAGGATCAAAAGGTAGCTATCACAGCTAGTGAATCATCTTACCTTTGAAAAAGTCCCCAGGAAAATCAGGAGGAGGTGAGACCATTGGGGAGTCCAAGTTCACAATGGATTTCATCACAATCTCCAGGGCATTTCTGCCATACTGTGTAAGGAAAAAAGTTGCTCTGTCAATACCATCCAGTGTTTGTGCCTCAGCCTCAGGCACACATGGTTTAACATGGATTTATAATTCGCAATGAAAAGCTTTTCTGTGCAACAGTGAAGGGAATTGTTTATCACCTTTATGTAGTGTAGTTTATAACTGAAAACAGTTATAAAAGTTTGATTGTTTGCAAGAACAGAAAAGTGATTTACACACGTGTGTTCCACATGGCTTCACAAATAGAATTATGGGTTACAGAAAGAGGCCTTCCATCAGCAGGTGATACAGTGAAAGGTAAGGGATGCAGAGGAACCTTCCTCAACAGGTCATCTGTGAAATAAGTGCCACAGCATGAGTTCCCCAACAGAAATAGAATTGTTACCTTGTTGTCAAAATTGAATCTGCTGAGGTCTCGAGTTTCTGTGGCCCGTCTGTCCCCGTGGGTGAGGGCTCCCTGTAAGACACATCATTGTCATTAAACACAACTTTTAAGATGAAGAAATCTAAGTTGCACTTTCTCAAAGGAAGGATCAGACCTCTTGAAACATCTTACCAAACTCTCCAGTCTTTTTGCAACTATAGATGCAAATCTTTGCTCTCCTGCCAGTTCAGAAATGAGGAACACATACTCTGGAGCAGTCACCTGGTTGGATCTATGAGTTCTTCCTGAATAATTAAGTAGAAGCATGTATATCAGATAAATTCTATTTCACTGAATATTTTAAATAAAATACAAACTGAAGAGCAAGGAAAAAAGGGCAGAACGTAATCCTGCTTAAAATTAGTTTCTGCTGTAATACAGCAAACAGAAGGTACACACAAAGATACTATAAAAATTATGGCAACTTCTATAAAGACACTTCATATGTGAATGAAACTCTAAAGCTCAGTCTAGGCTTGTTTGTGAGGTTTCTTTCAAAGCTTTCAAGACCATTAGCTATCACCACAGACAAAGCTGATTCTGTTCATGGGTACCAGAGACTGGAGGGGTCCTTAGGAGGTGCCTACTCCATCTGATTTTCTATGTTAGCAGTAAGTCCAGTTATTATTCCTGAGTCTGCTGCTGGCTAAGGACACAGTGAGTGATTTACCAAACTGCTGGATTGCTCTGTCCGCGCTCCACGGCAGCTCCAGGGTCATGTGAACCCTCCGCCTCTGGTTCTTGGCCCTGCGGTCTGCTTGCAGTGAGATGCCAGAGCTGGCAGCCTCCGAGATGATGGCAATGTTCTATTTTTGAGAAAAGAACCCTTAGTTAGCAAGAAATCCAAGATCAAGCTTCAGTTTCCAAAACAAAAATTCTCGTTTTACAACTATTACTGAACATGGGTCTAGAATGGTTTCACTGTTATTCACAAGGCAGAGGGAGGGCAGCAAAGGTGTGGTTTTCTGTATCAGAGTTAGAAGTGCTAATGAACTTTTCTGAGTGAAAGGAAGGGGTTTTGCTTTACTTTTCAACAACAATTCCCTGAGCAAACAAAACCTTGCCATCCCCGGGGGCAGGTCTCCCTGACACTGGCCTCTATTTCAGAAGGAAAGGGGAGGGACACAGGCTTGCTCCAATAGCAAACCAAAGTAAAGACAAAATATTGCTGCTAATGCTGTACAAGGAAGAGGATCCAGCCATTCCAGTGCCTGAATGCATTTGCCTTGAAAGAATGTAAATGTTTGGACTGTGCACAAATCACTTACAGGAACCTGAGTTTTTCCCCTCAAGTGTCAAAGGGACCACACAAGTTCCATGCACAGTGACATTTACTCCATTTGCCCTCTTGTGGCAGCACGGCCCAAGTGAACCACTGTGAAGGGCTTTCTGCCACCACTTCTTTTATCAGATGCAATTCTATCATTATTCAGGTCAGGATTTTCTTTCAGAGTGCAACATAAAAGGCAGAAGCCACCACTCCTCCCAGTGTGACTTCTCAATCCTTGTTAAGGTTAACAGGTCCCACCTTTTCCCTTCACCCCTCACTGTAAGTTTTCATACAATGGTCTTCCTCATTTCCCAATTTAATTATTTCCTCTTGGAAGGGGAGGTGCACAGTGACCCAGATCAATGAGTCAAAGATATGAATCACAAATCTGCCTTTTAAACACATATTGGTTTACAAAACCAGCTTAAAGGTGCCAGCTTTCAGATTGGCACATGTGTGCACACCAAACACAGTCCTCTGAGGTCACCCAAACTATAGCCTGACCTTCAAACATGCTGATTTGAAAAACAAAACAGCACTGAACTGAAAGTGCTTCTTAACTAGTACTTACACTACCTGCCAGTCACTGGTGAATAGCTTAGAGTTACTATGGCATCTGGCACATTTGTCTACAGTCTCTCTCTTCAAAGATTACCTTATCTCCATCCATGAACCTCTGCTTTTCTGTGATGTTCAGGATTTCAACGGGTACATCGAGTTCAGACCTTGACTCGTAGGAGATGCTGCCATCATCATTGCTCACCACTCTGCCTTTGCGGCCTGTCATCTTTGGAAGGGAACACAAGCTCAGGGTGGCAATACCAAAGCCACCCCAGCACCAAAAGCTCCAAGCAGTATTATATATCCATGTACCCACAATAAAATGCTCAGTAATTTACTCTCAGTGCAAAACTACTACTCTCTGCTATGTGGAATATGACAGAGAATATCTATGTAGAAATGATGTTGTATTATACTACTGTTCATAACAGATTTACCAGCAGCACTAAGAAAATAAGCTAGCAGAGAGCTTAGGCTACAACTGATTTTAACAGGGTCTTTTAAATCACATTGATGCTGCTACTTGATAGAGACAGCTATTGAGAGATTAATTAATCAGGCTTTTCATCAACACATAAAGGTTCTTAATCTCCACTGCCTTGAAGGATGAACTAAAGCTCCTATCTGTTTAATACACACCAGCAGCAAATTGACTGCAGCCAGTCAGAGAAACAGGCCACAGTAAAACAAAAGAGAAACTGGTGTGATTTACCCAACCAGAAACTATCAAACCTCAGAAATAATGTGTTAGCCCACTCAGATCTCCCTCTGTATTCTAACACAATCTTCAAATTTCTCTTTCATTCAGAGGCACAGTAATCTCTGCTCTCATTCCCGAGATCACTGTCTAAAACTGATAAACAACCTCTCCAAAAACACTTTTCGTGTATGTGAACACCAGCCTACCTCTGCAACATTTTCAGGACCACCCAGCTCATCTATAAGCTCATCCAGTGTATTAGGTGGAAGATCTTCAGCCAGCTTTTCCAGTTTATCCAGCAGTTCTTTTTTCATTTGTTGGGCCCTTTCAACAGCATCCTGACTTGTTACGAAGCTGCTGTTTGTGTTACTGTTTGCTGAAAGTTAACAAAGACTCATTGAGATTTAGAATTTTATTGCCTAACTGCTAGGAAATGAATCAACATCAAAGAAAGTTGCTCTTACCAGACGTGTTGGTACTAGAAGTGGTGGTTCCAACAGTGGAAGTGAAGCAGCTGGGTCGTTTGGATCCCAGACCAGAGGCTAGTAAGGCACTTTGAATAGAATCTGGGTCTATGCTTTTCTTCTTTTTCTTTTCTTTATTTTTTTTATGCTCTTTTCTAATCAACCAGGGATCTGAAGTTAAAAAAAAGTTTCAAACATTTACTAAGCAGCCATCTATCCCTTCAAAACAAATACATTATCACTGCATAAAGTGACTTGCAAAAATCTGAATTCCAGTGTACAAAAATCCAATTGAAGTTTCACATTCTACTAATTGTAGTCTCACTGGAACTAAACTACCTGCTTATAAACACTTCTCTATGGCTCACTGGAATGTTTGGAAGATTTTCTGCTTCTTCTGCAAATACTGCTACTTTCTTGATGAAACACTTAGACTGTCTTACCATCTTCATCATCTTCACTGGATTCGTCTCTGAATGGGTTGAAGTCATCATCGTCTCCAGAACTCAAAAATTTGGAGCTCTCGTTGTCACTTTCTTCATTGTCTGAAGCATCAGACTCACTTTCACTCTCATCAGAGCTGCTCCCTGCAAGGCCACCTGTTTTGCGGGCTTTTTTGGCTTCTCTGCTTATTTCTTCACCTAATTCCATCATCCCAGAAGAAAGAGAAATTAGTTTAAACCTTGTAGTCTACACACTTCGAGATCCGTTTTACCATATAAACCAGAAAAATATTCAACTTTTGAAAACACAACTACTTAAAAGAATTTAAAAGTACGATCTAAAAGTATGATCACGTACTTTTCAGATAATCAGTTTGGGAAGGGGGTGGTATTAGACTTCTCTTCACTGAGCCTCAAGATAAAAAAAGTTACTTGACTAGACAGATATTAGATAGCATGACTATATCAGGAAGTGATCTGACACAGACAAGGCATTTTGGGATATGGTTCCATAGCAGATGAATCCAATTTTGAGCAAAATTAACTAAAATTTATAGCAATATAACATCTATCACTGGCAACTTCTAACAACAGCCTTAAGAGATCTGCTACATTCTCCTTCATGGATGACTGTACAGATATTCCCATTTTTCCCCACACGAAGTTCACTTTTAGGCAGCTCTGAAGTTGCCATTTTCCCTGTGCCACTAGTGTAGGAACTTCAGCATTACCTTTTCGTTTCTTTACTTTGTTCTCCTTGCAAGGGCTGTCTCGGGGTGAGTTGTTATTACTTTGAGCAGTCAGGTCAATTCCCAACAAGCTAAACAGCTTCTTCCTGTCAGGAGCTGGAAAGTGCTTCTCAATAAGAGACTGGAATACTCCTCTGTTTAAGAAAAAAGGGCTGCTCAGTGGAATTTGCATAAAGTACAAACCTGTAACATTCAACAGCTTGCTTGACTTCTCTGAAGAATGACTCCTCGTGAGCGCAGCTGGGCACTTTCTGTATTATCACCTTCCTAAAAGTAGGACACATCTCTTCTACAGCACTGTTATAACTTGTTAAATTTGTTTTTGAGAACAAGTGGCAGTGCTACTGCCATTTTTTTATTGCTCAATTTAAGTAAAAAATTAAGTTAATTCATTTAGATCTTCAGCAAGGCAGCCTTGGGATTGGCTCTGCTCCCTCTGATCAAAGAGGGAAGTCATGGTCTGTAACTCGCTCTGGTATAAATGCAGCACACACTTGGCAGGTCTCCCTGTCCTCCCAGTTTGAAGTACTGAGAGAACAGTATGAGCTGTTCACACCTGAAAACATCAGTTTGGAATGCCATGAGAACCAGGAGATATCCACTGCCTCACCTGAGCAGTGCTGCCCAATTTTAGGTACAGGAAGCTTCAGTAAAGAATGTCACTACTAAGGGATTCCCAACCTTCTGTGCACTGATGCACATTTGACACACAGAAGGACAAATGACTACATACACACACTAAGCTGGATGAAGGTTAGTTTTGTAAAGAACAGTTTCAAAATTCAGTCTTACTTTGCTGTAGAAACAAAGTCATTCAGTTCCCCACCACCTTCCTCCAAAGCTTCCAATGTTCTTGCTTCTCCTGTCGACTGCAGGCCAATGACAACGCACTGATGGACAAAAGAATACCAGACAGTGTCAACTATGACTGAGCTGTAGGTTTATTTTGCCTGATTTCTGCTCATTAGATAGCATGAAATACAAAAGCATGCTCCTACTATGGCTGAAAATATTTGTATTATATATATATATTAAAAAAATATTAATCTAATAGCTTTACATTTAAGACAAATATTTAAAAATCAGTCTTGATCAACTTACTTTGCCATTCTTGATTTCTTCCCGAGCCAATTGCACCACCCTCTTCACCTTTGAGGCTATACAAAGGTACTTGAAAAACCTCTGGTGAGCTGACCAGAACTGACCCCACATGGACTTCTTCATGCGCTGCTCTGCATCGATCAGATCGGCTGCTTGCTGAAACCTCTCTCGAGCACTGACCCACTAAACAAGAAAAGGAGCATTCAAATTTCAACCAACTTCAACCTCTCAGAACTTAACAGAAAAAGCAAATTTCAAAAGGGGTTCTTACCAGTTTCACAGATTTATTGTACATTTTAACATATTCCTGTGAGAGCAGAACTTCATCGATTTTGAAAGTTACACCTGAAAAACTCAACTGTCTGGCTATGTACATTCCTCTCAGCTTCATATCCATAGCAACTATTTCCATGGCACCAACACCTCTAAAATAAAGGAACAATTTAAGTCCATATTAGAATTTTCAAGAGCAAGGATCTGTTAAAAAAAGCCTCATAACACAACCCCAAGTACTTTAGGAAAAAACAGCTTATAATTGTGAAGGAATATGTTTTTGAAATAATTTGAAATTTAGTCTTTACATAAAATTGTATCCCCGCCTTGTAAATGTTAAGTGTATCCCAAGGGGTAAAACTCAGTTACTTTTTTCCCAAATGACCTAGGATGGATTAGGAGACAGTAACTTATAAATTCAAACGGGATAACAAAGTTGGTCGAAATATCAGCAAATTCCTGCATTCTAATTTTATAAACTGCTGATGATTTGAAAGAATACGAACCATTTTAAGTTATTCAGATTTATGCTGATATGAAAATTTTTAAATTAGTAACATCAGTTCTCTTCAACAGCAGCACACCTTGAGAGCACAGAAGTCACCTGCAAAACAGCTGACTGCTACTCACAGGCCTGGGGCTCTAACTTCATTATTGCTTATTTGATATGCACCCAGCAATGAAGGGAGGCTACACTTGCAGGGTCCAGAAAAACCACACATCATGCAGATGGTAAACAAGATGCATCCTAAACCCTACTGTGGCATTCTGAAGTGTTCAAAATTCTTTTTGAGTAGGCAAAGCAAGATGCTCACCCACCAGAGAATGTGGCAGCAGCCTTTTCTACTCACCTCTCACATTTAGTATTATTAGTATGTTCTGAAACACCAAGTACCTTGTATAAGCACAAAGAATTTCCCTGAACTGGGTTCTTATGCCAATAAGCACAAGATTTCCTCCTGTTAAATTGCTTAAGATGAATGCATAAACATTAGAGGCCTTCTACAAATAGTGAGCCATTAACTACACTGAGCATACTCACTATAATACAGGTTGTTTTCATGGGGAGCAGCAAAGTATCTTGCTTTCCTAACACCCACATTTTTGAGGCCTCTTTTCCCAGAAAGCTTTTAAAGCTCTCAAAATTTTCTGTGAATAAAGGAAACATCTTATTTTTCACCACTTATGATAAATTACACTTCTGCTAGATTTAGAAGCCAGAGTTCCTAGTGTGACATGACATGCTTGCAAAGGACAAGAGAGCAAAGACAAGGAACTGGGAAGTACAGTCAGCCACAACCCTGTGCATTCTGCTGTAGGTCTTTGAAATTTTACCTTCTTTCAACAGCCTGAATAAAATCACTGAATTCCCTAAATGGAGTTCCTTCACCCCATATTCCAAGACGGTTCATATATGCCATGTTTCTTGGCTCAGATGCACCTAAAAAGAGAAACATAAATCTGTACCAGTGCCAGCAAAACCATCCAGAAACATTTAATACAAACCCAGCAGTACATACCTGTGGCACTGGCATAAACAACCCTGGCTTTTGGAAGTTTATTTTGAAGTTCTAATACAGCCAGACCTGTTTTTGTTGGTTTTGATGAACCAACAGGACACAGATTCTTTGCTTTATGACACTCATCAAATACGATCTGAACCATAATTAAGAAAAAGCTTTGTCCCACTAATGTACAGAATGAGGAGCTAGAACAGAAGACAAGAAAATCTACTACTTACAACATGGGGCAGGTGCAAATTGTAAACTCAAGACACTAGTCATTTTAACTAAAAACCTTGGAAAAATATTTAGATAGTAAATTGCCACACTTGAGTTCTTGAAAATGCTGGTGGATACTCTAAATATATATTTGAATAAGTCCGTAAAAAATATCAGTGTAAACTTGATGTTCTTAAGGATAACAGTTTAGTTTTATAGGTTTGATATAGAAAAAACCAGATAATTCACTCTTGTACCAGAGTTGTGTGACAAGTTGATAGCAATATTTGACACAAAGTCTCTGAAACTGCAAGTATAATGTCAAAGCATGCACACAACTGATTGCAATTACAAATTAAGAATACCTAAAACTCTTTAAAGATACTAGTTTAAATAGCAATTTCATTATAATCAAATGAATTCCAGGAAAAGGATACAACTCCATCAAAGTCTTCACCACACCAGTGAAGAAGCTGCTTTAATCTGGTTTTGTATTTACCACCAGACTGACTTTCCCCAATAAGAGAAGAATAGGTAGCAAAGATGACACCTTTCTTCACACTTCCATTATGTTTCGATGAAATCTTCCCATACTTGAACTGCAATAAATAGAAATTACAGAAATTAATCAAGGGATACTCCTCCTCAATCCCACCTACCAGATGATTAAGGGATGCTGGTGGTCTCAAATTTAAAGGTGTGAACACTAGGAGCCACCCATAACCTCACATCATGATCCTGGCACAGCTAATATGGCAATGTGGTTAAGGGGTTATATAGGGCCTTACTTAAACATAGACTTAAGGAAGACTAAACCTGAGGTTTCAAAAGCTTAGCAGCCACATTCTTTGGCTACATGGTTTCCTTAGTATAAATACAATTGAGATTTTAGTTTCAATGTATCCCTTTAAGAGCCAATACCTCAAGTGTATTTACCTGCTGCTAGCACACATGATGATTTCTAAAGCCTTGTTTTGGAAATTAAGAATTCATAAAGCAAAAATACCAACTTAAACCAAACTTTTAAGTTCAGTGAATTCAACCAGCAATCACACTTTACAGTTTAAGCAGCTAATCCAGAGCAGAGGCAGTGTCTCCAAAAATAACTGCACACACCACTGCTGCTTTAATAAATCACTGAGCAAGTCCATTATTCAAGTATTACACATAAAATACATTGCATGTAAAATGTGCACTGAGAAAGGAAAAAATTCAAATGCCTTAAAGATGTAAAGAATATTTCAGCTTCTAGAAAATACTTTACTAGTAGTGTCAGTAGTGGCTTGAAGTGTAATTTTTTTTAAAAAAAGCACACATGCCAAGACTTAATCCTACAAGGGGCCTATTTACATGATTAACTTAAAGCTCTGTGTGGGTCTTTGTAAGATTTAGGCCTGTCAAACAAGACCTAGATGGCAAATTTATTGAAATTAGTACATTCTTGCTCTTAAAACAGCCAACATGCACAACTTGTCACACAAGCGTACCTAAAGGTTTGCCTCAACTGTACATAGTAAAAAGTTTCCACACCTTGTTTAATGAATGCACCAATATGTTTTTTGCTCCAATATCTCTCAAATCTCTTTCAGCATCGTATTTCAGATCATTTGACACGCTAAACCTGAAGATACAAAACAAAGCACATTCTGTAAGTTACAGCAGGTCAAAAGGCAGTAGAACATTTGTCAGAAGACAGATGACCCTGAATTTGTCATAGAGTCACTGGAGTGTCTGCTCTAACAAATCCTGACACACTTACCAGACTGCTCTTTTTCTGCCTAACAAGTAATTTTCATAGATTATTCCAGCTATGGTCCTTCCTTTTCCTACACCAGCACCATCACCTATCAAGAATCCAGCTCTGTCTCCATTGGGCAGGAATGTTTCATGTTGCTGTAGGAGAAAGAACAAAAAACTTGTACCCATTCTCCAGAACACATCACAGGGGATTGTCAGAAAAGAGCAAACATAAGAAACATCCTATTGGAGGAGACCAGTGGTCCAAGCAAACTCCTGGAAGCAGGAAGAGGGGACTTTATTTAGGGAGAGCACAGCACCCTAACTGTATTGTGTGATCCATTCTCCCCTTTCTTCCCTCAGCACCCAGAACTGCTCTAAACATCTGTACAATATTTTGTGCCTTTTCCTAATCCACTGATAGGCACCTGTACAGCCTTTTGCAGCAGCAAGACCCAGACATCCACAGCCTGTGGAATGCAGTATTCTGAATCTACCCATTTTAAACCTATCTCCTGTCAGTGTCATCAAGTTCTGCTTTGCTTTTGTGTGATATCACTCACTTCTTCATTATCTTAACCCTGATTTCATTCCCATTGCTTTCTCTCTCCTCCAGCCCCAGGTGTCCCAGCTGTGTCAGTCTCTTTACATGAGGTAACTTTTCCCTCCTGTGACCATTTTAGCTGTCCTGTAACTCCACTGCCTCCTTTCCCCAGCACAGAGGGCTGCACACACATCTGGGGTGGGCACACTGAAGTTTAACCCAGCAGCAAAAACAACATCCAGTGCTGTTCTCTATTCCCTTCCCAAGGATGTCCAAGAGGGCTGGCTTTCTCAGCCTGCTGCTACTGCAGCCATTAAATTACTTCAGAGAAATAAAAATGACTAACATGTTCTAAGACAGTTAAAAGATCACCATCATGGAAGTGGTTTAGAGGAAATTTTCCTAGGTGTATTACCTCACATTTATCTGGGCTGAAGCTCACCTGCCATCTTCTAATGCAACTCAAACCTTTAAGCTCTTATTATTTTATCTCCTTGTAAAACTGACATAGCTGCACTTGTCAGATTTTAGTCTTTCTTCTTAAATTCTCTGTTAGCTTTTAAGCTGTGCTGATGTCTGGCATACCTGGGCTGCATAAGTGATTGCTTCGAGCTGCAAAGCTGACAACCAGCCACTGTCAATTGTTTCCTCTGATATTGATGTCTGGTACCACACATCAGGAGGAGTCACACTGGATAAGGAGCTGGTTTCCACTACTGGGTCAGGATGACGCAGACCAATTTTTACTGGTGGAGAAAAAAGAGGAAGGAAGGCAGAAGATGAAAACAAAATACAGAGTTCTGTTGCTGCAGCACAAGTTATTACATTTACCCAAACAACTTACAGTTGTGATTCTGAACTCAACAATCTCTCAAGTGTTAAACTGTATTGCATATGAAGGAACACATTAATCTGAATTTATAACTGCAATCTTAACTTTTTCTCTTCTCACCACCTTCCTACAATTTTTATGAGATTAGATAAAATTCACTTTACAGAAAATTAAAGTATTTGTGTACTTGACTTTTTGAGAAAAACCAGTCTGAACGTTGTCTTCCCAAAAAGGCCAGAAGCAGCCTCAGGATGCCAGAATCACAAAAGCAACATTCTTCTCACTATTTATACTGTGCCATTTTAAAGCAGAATGAGAGGAAAAAAGATTTAGAACAGACATGATTTAATTGCTGACAGATCTCATCAGTAACAATAAAAATTAACCATTTAGCTACAAATTCCCTGTAAAATTTTGCCTTGCTTATACAGCAGGTCACTGTATTTAGCAAACAAGATAAGAGCTCGTTGTCAATGGGTACAACAAAGAAAAAAGAAAAGAGAGGAGATGGCAATTAACAGCAGTAAAAGAGTCACTTAAAACAACCAAGAGTCAGCCCTAAGTAGTTAGCCAGGAACAATGCAGGAAGAATGTACTTAGGGTGATTTCACACCAAAAGAGTCAAACTAGATTCCCAAGTGTAGCAGTGAGCACTGAATTCCTTTACAAAATTTCCTTTGCTGAGGCACAAGGCATCTTAACAGAGGTAAAAAAACAGGCCTGATTCTAGTTCATCACTCGTTATCTGTGAAACAAATACTGCTCAATGATACTGAAGAATTTATCTTCTTTTAAAAATACATTTATCTTCCAAAACTAAGCATTACAGAAGATAGATTTCCTAGGAAAACCCACACTGTATTCAGGTTAACTTCAGACAGTATCTACTTCCTGTGTTAGTAATTACACAACAGTAAATAAATTAACTCTCAAAACATGCAGCCTTTTGATGTAACAGAAGATCAGGTCATACATTTTATTGGCATATATTCAGCGTAGGTCTCTGCATGGCCCATTTCTTCTTCATCTTCTTCCTCGGGTTCCTCCTCTTCTTTTACTGCTGGCACTTTCTAGAATTGAGAAATACTTGTGTTAGTCAAACAGCACATTATTAATATTCCATCTCCTGGAAATTAACATGAGAAAGGAAATGAGGACAAACTTGCACTTCAATGTTTTAACACATGTAGGGAACAAACCAGTGAATCCCTGGGAAACTACACACAAATGTAGATTGCTTACACTCTGAACAACCCTCTAAAGACACTAAGTCAGGGAATTTCCTCTTCTTTGCAAGGAGATCAAGCACTCCAAACTCACATAAGCAGAATTAAAAAGAAATTCTTCTTACTGCATATTAAAACCAGACTATAACTTAAGGAAAATTGCCTTGAAAACATGACAGCCCTCATATTCAAGCACTACCCTGGAGTCTCCTGCAGTTCTATATTCATAACACATAACATAACATTTCACAACTTTATAGTTAAATAGTTAGTTCTGTCCAGTATTGTCTGAAACCTGACAGTTACCCATTTACTGTGACCCTGACCAATGTAAATATGTAAGTATTTGTAAAGCACTCAACAGAAGAAAAATCAAACATCCTCTGCAACTACTAATGTTTAATACAAAAGAAATGATCTAAAAACCCCCTTCTGTATGGCAGTCACTGAGGAGCACAGTTCTTCCCAAACATCAACCTGAGTCTAGCTATCAGTGAAGATGCCAAAAATCAAATGTTTACAGCATCAGAATGTTATTTTATTACATTTAAAAAATTGAATGATATTCAATTTACATCTTCAATTTAACTGCCTAGAAGCACAGCCATGCTAGGGGGAAGACTTTCAGTTTCCTCACTGCTACTCGTTTTAAAAGAGAATGTTTTAACCCAGAGGAAATGCTATGCTTATCACCTTTAATCAGAGCCACACCCTTCTTGGCCCACACCAGCTTCTGCTAAGGACAGTAATTTCTTGAAATTGTCATTTACTGTCTAAGCTCAGCACACCTGTTAACTTCACTCATCTAACCAAGTTTCATCTTGTGGAGCAACTGACCTTTTGAACAAACAGATGCACTTGACAGTTCCACCACACACAAGACAAGTATGAGTAACTCCTGGAACTGGTCACAACTGTTTATGGCCAGCAACACTCTGGTTTGGCAAATGAATAATTTGTGCCACTTACCACAGTCGGTGAAAAACTTCTCATTTTAATGTCATTTATCCATATTCTTGCTACCTCTTTTGTGGAAGCCTCCTTCTTCACTGCACCATTACTTAGGTCAGCTGCAAAAGAAAAGCTGTGGTTTACAGAATTCCCTCCAAACATCAACTCAGATTAACATGCTGCCCTATTAATGAGCTGGAACAGAAGTTTGAAGTATTCAGGAGCACAGTGATGCTTCAAGAACAAATCTGTAACAGGATCCTTTAAGAAGACCATTTATTAACCTTCCTGTCTTCAGCCACATTTGCAAGGAACTAGGAATAGGGCTCAGTACACAACTAAAATAATTTGCATAAGGATAGATGCAAAATATTGAAAGCAGCTGTCAGGCTTCCATCATATCAACGCATGTAATAAACTTAGCATAATTGTCCCTAAAAACAATTAGAGCACTTGCACAAATAAATGTTTTCCTCAAAGGCATTGCATAATTTAACTTCTTAATATTTTCCCATCTAGAACTCCTGCTGTCTGAATTATATGAAAAGACCATTTTCCTTTCAGGAGCTTCTCTATTCTACAAGTATGTCATTTTTTAAAATAAACACGAGGAAAGATCCAGAGACACGGGAACACAAGTAAGATTAGGAATGCAGTTCTATAAGTTGCAAGTCTCCTTTTCCCTTTACACAGAAGCTACAGATTGCATGTTTTCTGCAGCTGTGCCACTCTAACAGTTACTGTGTGTTGGTGTCACCTACTCTGTGCTTCTCTGAGTTTGCACTTGATTTAATAGGATTGACTTATCCCCTTCTGCTCTCTCCCCTCCTCCTCACTTCCTTTACTCCTTGCCCCAACTTCAGTTCATGTCCCAACTTGGGTTTTGGCAACCACTCCCTAAGAGAAAGCAACGACACAGGAGGGACATTCTGCTTTTTGTTTCAGTTCTAACAGAAAGCTCCTGCACTGCACTCTCTCTGCATACAGAAAAATAGGTTATGCCAACCACACCTATAAAATCAGCAAAGCTTGTTTCAAAGACAATGAAAATAACAGAAATCCAGAAAACGCCTGTGTATCTTTCAGAAAAAAAAAAAGCAGCACTGAAGATATTCTCAAACTGAACTAGTCTAATCTTAACCTCAAGCTAAAATCAGAACAATTTGAAAGAGTCAATTTCACACACATGTAGCTTTTTCCTTACACAAGTTGACCAAGTGTTAAAAATAACATACAAGGAAATATCAAGGAAGGAATCCCAAAATGAAGATAACTAAGAACTTGTGGCATTTAACTTACTGCAGCATTTCAGAAGTAACATGAAAATAAACAGCAAGTTTTTAGGGTTTAATTTCTTAAATAATAGTTCTGATGCCTCCAATGAAACAAAGGGACAGATTTTCCTTTTGCAGGAGACAATTCACACAAACACCTTATGGGCTACAATTCCAGTTTGGAAGATGCTAAATAGAAAATAGTACTAGCTTGTTGTAGTTCCAAGTATACACTAGAACAGGAACTGGTGGAGACTCCAGTAACATAGCTAATTGACTTCAGTAATGTTCACAAAATAATTTTATGAATTTTCCAGCTGCAATCTGTCATTTTCCTCATTCCATGCCATAAATTGAGTTTAATTTTTAAACTGTTATTTCATACTTTTTCACCCTGAATTCTAACACTACTACAGTTAGAATAAAATTTATCAGGTTTCCTGAACCACTTCACTTTACCAGGATATTATAGTAATCAATGAAAATCCACAATGTGCAAAGATCTTTGGTATTTCACTATTTAAACAAATAGTGAATTAGAAAGAAAACTCACTTGCTGCTGTTGCTACTGGTTGGGCAATATTAGGAGGTGGCTTCAGTTTCATGAGTTCATTAAGACTATTGTTCTTGAGCAGATCTTTCAGCTGAATCTGGTCCTTGGAAGGTGCAGTGGTCAAGGCATTGCGAGCTGCTGGTGCTGCCACCGAGGGCCGAGTGGTTGTGCTGGTCTGGATGATCTTTGCTACAGTGATCGTCTGCCTCGAGGTCGTGACAGGCGTCGTTTTTGTCACCACTATTGTCGTCCCCAGAGTTGGAAGCTGATTTATTTGATTCAGCACAAAGGTTGTGGTGGATGGTGGTTGCTGGCAACAAAAAAGCAGGGAAATATTCAGAAAAACAGTAAAAAAAAAAAGCAAACTTTATTAGATTTCAGTTAGCATACAGGATACATCAGTTTTTAGAAGACACTTGAAGTAAGAAATATCCTTAAATAACATGCTGAAGGTGCCACAGTAATTATCTTGTGCTGCAACAGTCTGAGCAAAAAGCATCTATGAATACATGGTACATATTTCAAAAGGGTTTTTTTATTTTATTTTAAGGTAAGGAAAAGAAAAAAAAAGAAAAATTCATCACGTGAGTACAAGATATAACCACTACAGTTTCCCCCATATCTGATAAAGCCAGTCCAACCCACTGCTGGCCAAAGCTCAGCCAGTCAGTGTCACTGGCAGTGCCAGTGAGAAGGTATTTGGTTGACAACAGCCAAAAACTGTGACACCATCAGCAGCTGGGATGGAGTGAGAATATGTGAGAAATCCCTGCAGACACCAAGGTCAGTGAAGGAAGGGGAGGAGGTACCAGGTGCTGGAGCAGGGACTCCCCTGCAGCCCTTAGAGGACCATGGATGCCAGGAGTGAAGTTGAGCCCAGGACAAAGGAAGAAGTGGGGAGAAAGTATTTTTAGATTTGTTCTTATTTCTAATTTTCCTCCTCCATTGTTAACTGGCAATGAATTAATTTCCTAGAGTTGAGTCTAGTTTGCCCATGACAAATTGCTGATCTCCCTGTCCTTATTTCAACCCACGAGCCTTTCACCATGGTTTTTTAGCCTGTGTGCAACTGAGGTGGAGGAGTGATAAAGCAGCTTTGTGGGCACCTGGTGCCCAGCCCAAGTTAAGCCCCCTCCCCATCGAAATCCTGGAGCAGCAGTTCAGGTCTTACCCGAACATTTAATAAGGCTGGAGTGGAGACAGTCTCTGGTTCTTGTTTCACAGCAGCTGCAGCCTCGGTCTCCAGGCCCAGCTCTAATGCACTGAGTGGTACTGACTGCAGAGGGAAGAAAGCAAACAAGTCAGCAGGAATAAAACCTTAAAGCTTTTGTTCCCAGTTTGTGCCTGAAGTGGCTACACTCTGACAGAGTGAAGGCCATCAGGGAGTTTAAACATGGCATTTCATTACAGTTTTTATGTATTTTATTGCAGAGCAGCTAGATCCCAATGACATGAGAGCTTTCCATGGATACCTGACATTATGTCCCCATGTCATGTCCAGAATTAAGCATATTTCTGTCTGTACTGATCTCAAGTGTTTAACATTGATTTCTTGTATGGAAGTTTAAAATTAATTCACAAGCCATTTTCCAATCTCAGTACTATGAAGCAAGAAACTTAAGAAAACTCCACATACTTCAGCCACTTGCCATGCACACTATCCCCTTTAACCCCTCCATCGCAGCAAACCCAAGCTCTAACAAATCCCTATGTTCTTGTTTTAACCTGCTGAACAGCTGGAGTTGGTGCTGGATTTGCAAGAACCACATCTGGAGAGTCAATATCAAAGAGATCATTTGGACTGATTCCACTCTCACTCAAAGCAGCAAGCAACAGATCTTGTCCTGGCTCCACCATCTCTGAAAAAAAAAAAAAAGAAAAAAAAAAAAAAGAAATTGTAAATACGAGTAGATTCAATTCTGATTTATTTTTTGCCCACACACAACTCCATTTCCTGGGTTTCAGGGCATTCACAGTGCAGTCTCTTGTACACACAGTTTCACTTTCTAGATGTGCTCTGGTTTTTTTGTTTATGTGTAGGCTTTTCAACATACCCACCACATTTAAAAGCAGAGAGAATGAAACAGTTTACTACACAAAATGCTATCATACCCATAAACTTAAGACACCTTTTCTAGTCTTTGAGGCACTACATTTTCAAGTATTACAAGAAATACCAAGAGCAGAAATGGTCAGACCATGGTATGCTAATGATCCATCTTTGTTGGTGAAGCAACTGCACGAGGGAAACACAATTAAAACTAATTTACTTTATCTTGTAACAAGCTAGTGATAAAGAGCTTATAAGGAAAGTTTCAATTTCTTGCTTGCCATTACATTAGGTTACATTCATTCACTGGAGAAATTTTGTCTTGCATAGTGGAGAGAACAAATGTGCTACTATTATAGTATGTAACTGCTTATTAAATAGGACACTAACATTAGGTCACAGACTCCTTTATGTGTAGGACAAGCAAAACTAATTTCAAAAAGCTATTCTAGACAGTATAAAAACTTATTAAAAAGCCAAATACTCCATATTTAAAGATGAAGAGAGAAGATAACACATTTCACTTGCTTAAGAAGGAAACCCATCTGCCTTAGTATTAAGAAAAAAATTAAACGCTTTCACAGAACTTGAGCTGGTGCTTATACAGTCTAAAATACACCTCAAGCAGATTTTTATTTCACTCACCCTCCACACCCCTTAACACCCACTGGGAATTAAAACATCAAAACCCAATGAAGCCAAACACCTACTCTAAAGCAGGTAAGAGGACAAAATTATTTGTTGGCATTTTAGACGTTCATTCAAAAAACTGCAAAACAGCATTCCCTTGCTCATCCCTTCCACATGCACAGCTAAGCCACATCCAGCTGGCTGGTCACACATATTCCTCAGCACATTTAGCAGAACAGGTAATTCTTGTAATAAGCTAAGCCTCAGGCACTTAGTTCTTACTCTTCCCAGTTTTAGTCTGTGCAATAGCAGGGAGAAACCTTTTGGTTGTGGATTCATACTGAGATGGTGGCACCACAAGTGCCACGTACTGGGACAAGGGGAAAAGACATTTTAATAGATCAAAAAATAAAGATGCTCCAAACAATATCAAAGCAACAATCAATTGGTGGGACTGCTGCTGACTACACACAGCCCCACCAAACACCACTTGCTTGTCAGAACAAGACTCTTCTTTCTTAAAGGCATTAGAGTTGACCATATAAATTGGTGGAATGGTCTTGTTTGCTGCTATGAGGTACAGAAAATATTAAGAAGAATTAAGTCATCTAGCTGATTTAATTGATATGGCAGCACCATTAAAAGGACATCACCACCCACTAGCCTGTCTCCCAGAATCTTCAACGGGTCAACAAAAGTACTAAGACCTGACTTTTAGTTTCAACTTTCATTCCAGAAAGATTGTGCTTCCTCTCTCAAAAAAGGAGACTATATATATACATTAATTAGATAGGATAAATCCTTAATTTTCATCAGACTAAAATCTTAACAGTGACCATCACAACCAAGTTCAGAAGCTTGCAGCATTGTTTACTAACCAGAAACAGGTGAGGGATGGAAGGTTTAAGTCTGCAGAGGAAATTTTTGCTTATCAGCACTTCTGTTGTTCAGAACTTGAGAGCAGCTACTGAAGAGGAATTTCTCTACAGAAGGGGAATTAACACAGGTTACCCCACCAAAACACTTTAAAATCGTAACTTCACAATATCCATTTGGGAAAGAGGCATGAGCACCCTTCCACACAGGGCAACACCTCTGCTCAAAGGACAAACTAAAATGTTTAAAGTACAACAGAAAATCCATCAGTTAAGTAATTCTTTAGTCTGTATGGACTCGTGATCACCCCACTGCTAAATGAAGATATGACTAAAACTTGGTTGAGAGCTACAGGACTGGACTAAATAGAGGCACAAAAAGGCAGAAGCTTGGGGATTTTCACTTGAGAACTAAGAGAAAATGAAAAGACTCAAGAACTCTTAGTCTGCTCACACATTATAGGAATGAAAGGCCTTTCTATGAAGTTGAGACTCAAAGTAAAACCAAAGCTAGAAGAAAAACCCACACCCAACACCACAAAAACACATCTTCCCCAGCCACCCTACAATGGTGTCACAACCCATGCCATCTGTTTGAAGTCCAGTTTGACATTTCCACGACGCCATTGACCTCTGTATGTTTAGCCTTTAAAAACATTATTTTTTTAAAAAAAAGTTTCAGAGTTCAGAAAAAAAACAACTCATAGCAGTTGCTTATTTCAAAGTTTTCAGCAAATGACTGGCAATAGAAACTAGCAAAGCAATTCCTACAATTTCAGAGTAAATATCTCCAGTGTAGAAACACCTCTTTCTAGCGAGGCTGTTTTCATACAAGAAATCCCCCAGCTGCACCTCTCTCCTGATACCCCAAATTTTAAGTCTTAAAAATTCATGGTTGCTCACAACCCTGCAAAAAGCTCAGTAAAACAACAGCAATTGTTTGTCTGTCAGTTTGGACAATGAAAGTTTGACTAGTTTCACTTATTTTGTTTCTGTACAGTAGGAACAAAGCTGCATTGTTTGGAACAAAAGGAATTCTGAACTTCTAGAATTTTTACATTAGAAGTCACTGAATACTTTGCACCAATTTTAGGCTTTGTGCAACTTCCAAGCACCAATGCTGCCCACCCTCCTCATTTTCATTTTGCAAGGAAATTAAATGAGGAAGAAAAAAACACAGGAGAAGCTGCATTGTGGTAACTTATTTTATTTTCTGTAGCACATGCTGGTTAAGCTTAAAACATTATCAGGCTGAACCAGCTCCATAATCTTGCAAGGTAGGAGGCTCCTCAGCTAACACAAGTGAAAGTGACTTTATCAAGCTCTGCAGCTCAGCCTTGGCAATACTATATAAGGACCTGTTTGCCACATCTTCAAAATCTCCGAAAGAAAATACTTATTAAAAAGTTGTGAATATTACAAGCTGTTCTCTGAACATTTCATCAAAGAACTGTTTTGAGCATGTAATCTTGCAGATAAGATTGTCTATGTTTAGTGAGGTAGTCTAATGTCACTGAGCAAGAACCAGCCTATTAAATAAAACTAAAAAATTTATTTATGAAATTTCAATGGTAGTAATCGTAATTACTTTCTTTGTATTAAGAGAAAGCAAACTGCTGCTATTTCAAGAAGAGCTACCAAAGCAGACCAAATATTTCTGTAAGGTGCTCTCCTGATGAAGAACATAGCTTAAAACTTTGATAAAGAGGCAGTTATGTGATCACTGCACATTATGTAAATAATTCCTCATTTAAAGATACAAAACTAGAATGCCATGTTTAATATCATGTCATGTATCCATGCCAACCTGGCTCTCTCTCTCCTTCCATTTTAGCTTTGGTACAAAGAAACAAAACAAAAAAAAAAAAGAAAAAAAGAAAAAAAAAAAGATTCTAAAACACATGTCAAGCAACCTGCTCCGTTTCCCCTGAGAAGCATAATGGTAGAATCCCAAACAATGAAAAGCCTTTTGATTTTCAGGTCTGGCAGTTACACATTGTAACACTACATGCCTGAAATGCTTATTTAAAAACCATAATCAATTACAGTATCATAAGTTGGTCCAAACCAAACATCACAATCAAGCAGGCACTGCTATTCCCAAGCCCTTCAGACACTTGGGCTCGGTGGTGCACTCAGCTGCAGGCCTGGGTGTTAATGCCTGCCTGGGACACAAACAGCATTCAGCAACTTCTCTTCTTTTACTGGAAAGATTTTCCCACTGCATTTTGGGGAATACCTGTCATCTGAGCTGTACTGGAAACCATTTATAATATCACACAAATACCGGAGTTGTAGAGACAAGACAGCTTTGCCCTGCAAATTCTCTGTCTGTCTAATCCACGAGTTATTAGTGACCTGAAAACTTCACATCTCCTTTTGCAGGCTCTCAGAGCAGAGGTGTAAGGGCTGCTGAGCCCCATCCCACCCAACAGGATTCTCTGGATAGCCACGTGGGTTCTGCTCATTTCACAGCTTTTGTCTCCAGAAGGGAACCTGGGTAACAGTAAAAAAAAAAAAACTCAACCAACCCAACCCCTTCTGGTCCTGTCCAAGTCACCATCCAATCAAAGAGCAGAACCCTAATTAATGAACTCACTCATCCTTCCATGCTTTAACCTCAAGACTAGCAGTTAATTTTGCATTCACACGTACAAAGGCATTCTCACAAAAACCGTAACTCCAATCCTGGAAAAGTCATTCCCACTTTTCCAAGGCAGGTTACCACTCAAACCTCAAAGCTTTCAAGGACACAAGGGACACTTCAGGGCACTGTGGGCTTCAGCTCTGCCTCAGAGCTTTTTAATGACTGTTCTACAAAATTTACAACTGCCATGTTACACAGCCTGCAAATGTGAAATTCAGAAGTTCTGAAAATATTAAGACTTAACAATGCAATAATTTGGCATAAAATCAGCTTTCATACTAAAAGGCTAGATCTGGTAATTTGGCTAGCAGTGAAAGTTGTTAAGAAGTAAAAACTCCAAGAAATAAGAACAGCAAGTGAGCACTAGGATCCTTAGTTTTAGCCTGGGAGACAGCTCCAGATGTGTCTCAAAGTACCATCCATGACCTGCTTAATTTGCTTTTAGAGTAGTTCTCAGCCAGTTTTGAAACCAAAGCAGTAGTCTGGACAAAAAGATGAACTCCCCACATTTTATTTCTAAATATTAAGATGGCATACAAATATAACATCTCATGGCTCTGAGGGAGATACAGAATACCAATTCAAATGTCACACTGTTACACAATTTCAATTCTTGCTTTACAACATCAACTACAGATTTTCATTTTGGGGGAGGGCAGCTTACAAAACATTAATATATGTTTTTAAGTAATTTTAATCCAGACACAGTCTTGGTAGTCTAAAGCCAAATAGTCTACCACTGAGTTAATTCCTAACTTCACACTGTGCCGTTTGATCACACTAAAATTTTTTTTCACTCACTCTGGAGTTACCTAACAAATCAATTCAAGGGTTTTATTTTTTAAGCATTTACAAAATCTGCCTCATCTTTACAGGTATCAAACACGTATAACCAGCCTACGTTTTTAAATACCTGAAAGAAAGTACAAGAGTTCTATTTTATACTCTCAAATGCAGTGTGGAACCTGGTAAGCTAAAAATATTAAAGAAACAAGAAAAAAAAAAACCAGAAGAAAAACCCAAAAGGCCTCTTCCCCATCAGACTGTAGGGGCATTTCTACGTTAAACTATTACTCACCCTAGCAACCTCTGTTTGAGGTGCGCTCGTTAAGAGTCCCTGGACTTTGAGGCCGTGTCTGTCGCCGCGGTTCAACTCCCCGGGAGCAGCGGGGCCCCAGAGGGCTCGGCAGGGCGGGGAAGCCCCCGGGGGAGGCGACGGGAGAGACGGGGGTCGGCGGCTCCTGCCCCGCCACCTTCCCACCAACACGTGTTCCCGACATAAACTTCCGGGTTGGGCCAGAATCGGCTGCGTAATCCTGTCCCATGCGCGACTTTTTGTTTCCAGACCTTCACCTCTTCAAAGATCCCTCCAACAGCACCGCGATCCGGGGGAAGGGCGGGAGGGCTCCGTCTCACGGCGGCTTTCGGAGCCGCTCCGGCACCATAAATCAAACACTCCCCCCATCCCCCCCGCCTCGTTTCTCCATTTCAAACCTCAACAATCAGCGGCCGCGGAAAGAGCGCACAAAGGCGCGGGCCGGCCCGGCCCGGGGGGCTCTGCCCGCGCAGGGCTGCGGCGGGGGGAGCGGCTCAACCCAGCGCCGCGCCCGCCCCCGGTAGAGAAGCGCTCCCCCAGAACCGGGGGGCCCCGCCGCCCGCCCCCGCACGCCCCCGGGCACCAAGTTCGCGGGACAACCGGGGCTCCGCCGGGGCGGTGGCGGCGCCCACCCCGCCCGCCGCGCCGCCCCCGGCCCACCGGGACCCCTGCGGGGGCGGCCGCGCAGCCTTCCGGGGCTGAGGGACCGAGGGAGCCGCGGAGCCGCTCCCAGCACAACGGGTCCTCCCCGGACACCCCCGCGTCGCCGCCGCGGGCCCCGGTGAGGAGCTGAGGGGAAGAAACCCCCGGGGCGGCCCCACAACGCGGAGAAGCGGCCAGAGACGGCCAAAGAGGCGCGGCGCCAGGCAATAGAACAGCGCGGGACTTACTCTCAGTCGCACTCGATCCTCCCGCGGGCTCCTGGAAGTCTCCGCCGCCGGCCCCGCCGCCCGCCGCTCTCTAACTCACGGCCGCCATCTTTGCCCTCCCTCCCCTCACAGGGGAGGGGGGGGGCCGGAGGAGGGGGCCGCCCGCACCACGTGACCGGGGCCGCGCCTCCCTCCCCCCGCCGCGCCGCGCGCGCTCCCCGCCCACGTGACCCCGCCAGCCACCGCCCGCCGCTGGCGCGCGCTCGGCACCACGTGACCCCGCCCCCCCGCCCCGCGGGCTCCCCGGTCACGTGGCCGCCGCCGCCGTCTCGCGCCCACCCCCCCCCCCCGTTCCGGTCTCCGGGCCCTGGCGCGCGTTCCCCGTTCGCCCCCCATCACGGGACATGCCGCGCCCCGGTTTCTCCCTGCTCTCAGCAACGGGAAGGTAGCAAGTTCCCCGTCCCCTCCCCCCCCCAAAAAAAAAGAAAAAAAAACCGGCGTATCCACCGTCCTTCAAATAAGAGACGTCCCCGCGGGCGGGCCCCGCCCGAAAGCGGCGGCCGCACTCGAGCCTTGGCGATCCGGGCCCGGTTCCCGGTAGGGTGGGGGGAGGGGAAGGCGGAGGCGAACGGCAGCGAGCGGTCACGTGACCTAGGGCTCCCGCAAGATGGCGGCTGCCGGCGAGAACCCGGCAGCGCGGCGGAGCTCTCGCGAGACATCGCGTTTCTCGCTGCATCACGGGGAGGGGCGGGGGAGGCGCCGTGCGCGCGCCCCCGCCTGAGGCGGCGTTGGCGGGACCGGGCCGGGCTCGGGGATTCGGTGTGAGGGGAAACGGGGAACGGTGAAACGGTGTTCTCGGAGCTCAGCCCCGCCCCTGCTCCCGCTGCTGAATGCCTCTCACTTCAGCCGGCCCCCTGGTCCCGTCCCTCCGCGGTTGGCGGCTCCGAGCAGCCCGGTGCGGCCGGTGCCTCCCCGCCCTGAGGCACCGCCACCTCCGCCCCCTCACGGCGCCGCGGCTCTGCGGAGTTCCTGCACCGGAGCTCCCCCGGCAGAACGCGAGGGGATTTCCCTGCTGCCCTCCCTGGGAATGCCCAGGGGATGTGCTGGCAGATGAGTTTTCCCCTGCGAATGTTTTACAAGCTGCTAATGTGAAACTTGCTGCTGCAAAGAATGGGTTAAAATCTGGAGACCACTCGTGCTAGTTTCACATTTGGAGACATCGTTTTAGCGCTGGAGGCCCCCAGACTGAGAAGACTTGTTAAAAGATACAATCTTCCAATAAAATGCTTTCCCAGTTGTGTAGGAACATGAAAATTTGTGAGAACTTTCACACAGAATTGAGGCAGACACAGATGAAGTGTAAGCAATCATGAAATGCCTTCAGATGTTCACTACTACTCATACAATCTTGTTCAAGTTTACTTATTTTATCATTAGATAAATTTAACAGAGATTAATATAACCAATAAAGGATTAGACAGATTAAGGGTAAACTATTTAAAGACAAAGCAACGTTAATTAAAGTGACTTTAAGTAATTCAGATTAATCAGTGATGCTTCAGACGGAGAAAAAGATGACAGAAGCGAGACCAGAGACCTGAAGAACAATTGAAATGGCAGCTTTTATCTTGATTATTGCCCTCTACACACTTCAGATGAAGGCATGATGAAGTACAGCTCACACGTGCTGAATCGAACTTTAAATCTCAGCAGCTCTGTACAACCGTGACAAGGAAGGGAGGGTTTTGATGTCTTGAGTTGAAAAGGGAGTTACCTGTCAGCGTTTGTGATCATCCTCGACTGCAATAGGTGAGTAATCCTGCTGGTGGAAATGCTGCTTTCCATTGGTGTGGAATTAGCACAGGCACATTTGTCTGCAGGACTCTGTTTCCATAGAATTTGGGCATGTAATTCATGGATCTCACTGCACTTTCTAGTCAGAGATTTTTTTTGTTAAATCACTGGTAGATACAATTCTGAATGTAATTATATTTTATAATCTATGAAATGCAGTTAGCACCTACTGACATTTTACTCTGTGACTTTATAAAATGATGTTGCTTAATGTAATATCCAGCAGTTACCCTCAGGGATTGTTTTTACTTGATTTCTAGTGGCTGAAGCACAAATTGTAGGGATTTCATCTTGTGAACGAGAAATTTGTGTAAATGCTGTCATTTATTTTGCAAATTGCAAATATGACAGGTGCTGTGTGAGAACTTGCTCTCAGGTGGCAATATTTAACAAGCATCTCCTTGGTATATTGGACAGAAAATGAAACTACGAATTCAAAGATAAAATAAGAAATTTTTTTTTAACCTGGATGAGGTGTTCATCTAGACCGAAGAGATTTACCTTGACGATTTTCTACCCTTTTTGAGCAAATCAACGCCTCGCTCGCTCTTCCTTCCCTTCCCCCACAAAACAATTTCACATTTCCGCAGTAAAACGTGGTGCTCTCGGGAGCTGCTCATGCGGCACTACGGGAGAGAATATTTAGGTCACTGGGTTTTAGCGCTGCTCCCTCTGGATTACGGGAGTCGGCAGCGCTCTCTGTGTGTGCTGCGTGTCCCGAGTCACAGTGACGGGCGGCTCCAGTCACGCTCTCCTGCGCTGGAGCCTTTAGCATTTCAACTTCTGCTCATCTCTGGCTTCTGGCCACAACCATCTGAGGGGTAAAGACAACATCTTTTGCTAATTCACAGTGTGATCCCACCGCGCCGGGAGCAGCGGCCAGTTAGAGATGACGTTGTTTTCTTTGTTGCTCTGGGGAAGAGAATTCCTTGGCTTCCTTTGCCCTCTACTGGTGGCCCGCACAGCTTCCATGCCAACTCGGTGCCTTTGCTTAACATACATATGTAAAATCATTATTTAAAACACACAACCCCCAACAGCTGAGCAAAACTACAGTTGAGGCCGTTTCCAGAGCTTTCCCAAGACATTAGGAAGAGTGCTCCCTATTACTGCAAGAAGGAAATCATCTTAGTAATTTATGAAGATCTTTTTTTCCCCCCCAGTTACATCCCAGCTGTGCAATAAGTACAGTGCAAACTGGGGTGGAAAAATCAGAGCAGTGTCTGCTCTGGTGCTTTTGCAGAGAGCTTGGAGTACCTGCCCTGGTGGAAGAACACCATGGGCATGGATGTTTATGGATGGGATGCCCAGAGGATGTCAGCTGGCTGCAGCTTTGAGTTTTGGTTGCCTCTCTGTAAAATTCATGTGCCTGGTGATCGGAGACCCAGATGTAACAAATGACAGTGCCCATGAAGAGCTGGGTTTGTTCTGTCTTCTCCCAAAGTGCCTGAATGCAGAGCTATCACAGGAAGAGGAGGGAGTGGACTGGAATGCTGTGCTGCCTTCTGAGACTCCTCTGCAGTCACACTGAATTCCTGCCCTCTGAGCCCCCAGCTGCTGTGGGACAGCTTGGAAAGGACGAGGCCCCGAGTTCTTGCTTAAGATGGGTTTTTTCCTGTTCTTAAAGGAAAGGGTGGCTTTCAGCTGTATCACTGACTGGCTGTTTATGTCACTGTGGGGATGCCAAGCGACAAGCAGCAGCCTGTGGCTACAGATAAGCCTTGGGTGGGAAGCCACCCCTGTGGCGATAGCGCTCGGGCCAGCAAAGTACCACAGCCCCAGCTCCTGAGCACACACACTCTGTGGGCCTTGCTGCAGGAGGGGTAGCACAGATAGGAAACAGGAGTCCTGCACCATTGCTCAATAGAAGCGTTCTGCTTGTCGTGGAGCACCGAAGTCCTGTGCGGCAATTTCCTGACTTCCATGATGGCATCCACGTCCCCTGAGCCATGCGTGCTTTGCCTCATTGCTGTGTTACTCTTTGCCATTGTACTTTCTCGATTTCAAAGTGCATGTACTAGTCCTGTTGGAAGCTTCTGAGCAGGAAATCGATGCTGAAGGCAGTTCCAGCTCTCCTGGTGATAATGATGGCTGTCATTTGCCTTTGTAATATTTTAGCTGCCCTCCTTATGGAATGGAGGTTTACATAAGGTCTTTGACACTTTAGTGCAATGCTGGAGTATTACCTGCTCTCCAGGCAAGCTTGGAAGATAGAACTAATAGACTTAAATTTCAGCCAGGGAAATCTAAGCCAAACATTGTGTAAAGCAGCCTAATAATTTCGCAGAGCAGAGTTTTACAATCCCGCCAGGATTAGGGGTACCCCGAATCCCTGCTGGGAGGTGGCGTGGGCCGTGTGGCCTGCGGAGAGGTGCAGGAGGGAGGCAGCGTTGGCGGGACGGCAGCAGGAGGTGCCGGTGGCGCGGCAGAGCGGACAGGGCGGGGGAACCGCGGTCCCGCCGCGCTCCGCGGGCCCGCACGGCCCGGACGGTCTCGCACGGCCCGCACGGTCCCGCACGGCCCGGACGGTCTCGCACGGCCCGGACGGTCCCGCACGGCCCGGACGGTCTCGCTCGGCCCGGACGGTCTCGCTCGGCCCGGACGGTCCCGCACGGCCCGGACGGTCTCGCTCGCGTTCCGCGCTCCCACCACGTGGCGCGGCCCGGCCGCGGAGGGGCATTCCCTGCCGGGCCGCCAATCAGAGCGCTGCCTGCTCTCGGCACGGACCAATCAGCGCCCAGCGAACACACATTTAAACCCTGCTCCCGGGAGCCGCGGCCACCGCTGTGTGACAGGGGGAGGGCGGGTCATGGCCGCTCGCGCCAATCAGAGGCCTGAGC